GTCGCCAGCCTTTCATTTTCATGGTCAGGATATAAGTGCCCACAACGCAATATGACGAATGCTGCAAAGATAACAACCCGTGCCTTGTAATTATAGCATCATTCGCACTACATACACACACCTCTACGAACATACTTAAACACACACTTCTACACACACACATACATACGCACATTTAACGTGCGTGATAATAATTACACGCAAACTTGCGATTATTTATTTAATAAGACTTCTTGCACGTTACAAAAAACATCAAAGAAGAGAATGATGATGATTATTGTCCAGTTCCTACACATCACAAGCAAGCAAACAAACAACAAACAAACGAACGTGTAATTAACTGCATCCACCTACCACATCTTCTTTCGCTGCATATCAATTGTGCCTTGTCTCCATTCATTCCTCATTCATACCTGCACGTATAACATCTATGCTGGCCATCGTAGATATCTGAGAGTTGTTTATTTATTTATATATTATTTAAAAATAAATCTTTGATTAATTTGAGTTGAAAATTTATGCATATTATTGCAAATACTTTTGAATACATCAAATGTGCAATTGATTCAGCGTACACTAACACACACGTGTACAAATATTAATATATTTGTACATGTATGTAACTTTTATGAATAATTTATGAGCCCAATGTCGTGATCTTCTTATGTTTTGCTGAGCTGATGGTTAAATGTGAGTGAATGAGTTGTAATGTGCAACTCAACTGGGCCTGTGTTTGTTTGTGTATGTATGTATATATATACATACATGTTTGTATGCTTGATGGTGTGTATGTGTGTTTATATATGTATGTATGCATGTGTGCGTATGAATATCTGTGTGTGTGTCAGAGAGTCAGACAGAGAAAGAGAGAAAGAGAGAGAGAAAGAAAGTGTGGCTAGTACACAACACACACGTGTCTTGTTTGATGTCATTGAGATGGTGTGTTTGTGTGTTTATATATGTATGTATATGTGTGTGTTTGTGTATGTATGCACGTGTGTGTATGAATATCTGTGTGTGTGTCTGAGAGTCAGACAGAGAAAGAGAGAAAGAGAGAGAGAAAGAGAGAGAGAGAGAGAGAGAAAGAAAGTGTGGCTAGTACACAACACACACGTGTCTTGTTTGATGTCATTAAGATGGTCTTTAATTAAGTGCTGCTTATGATGATGGAGCGCGATTGAGATGGTTGAGATTATTGTACAGCGCTATTGCAGTCACATTAAATAACATAGATTGATACAACTAATTACATCAACAACATTGATAACAACAAAATCCACAACATGTCGGCAACAACATAAACATCCTTAACAATCAACAATATCATAGGCATTGGGTTGGCATGTCAACAATTTTTAATCATAAATAAACAGAAAAAAGATTAAAACAATGTGTATATATATGTATTCTATAAATTCTTTGTTTCTCTCTCTCTCTCTCTCTCACTATCTCTTTGTGTATATGTGTGTGTTGTATTGTGTGTGTGAGTGTGTGTGAGGTGAATGATTATACGAATTATTTTTTTATGAATAAACGCGCACACACACACGCACACACACACAATCATGGAAATAATTGACTTAATTACATTTTAAAGATTTCAACAACGATGATAATAAGTACTAAATGATAAAATGAGTGGCAGTAACATTCATGACACAACAACAACAACAACAACAACAACAACAACAACAACAACAACAACAACAACAACAACAACAACAACAACAATAACAACAACAACAAATATACTGAATCTATATAGAGTAATAATAATATGATTGAGAGCATGAGAAACAATAAGTAAGCCAGCAACATTACAAAACAGCAAGCAAATAAACCTTGAGGAACATGTAGAATGACGTCATCACATGACGTCAGGTTATTTATTTGCTTACGTCAAGTTTCTTTCTTAAAAATCGTTAATTACGTAAGCTTACGTGCATGCACTGCTGTAAAATTAGCAATGCAAACAGTGAAACCACAGGTAGGCATAAACACGCACACAAACACACACACGCACACACACACACATTTAGAATTTAGATATACACATAAGAAACACAAACGCAACACAAATACATATATACTCATTCGCCATTCGCAAACACACATGGATAACTAAATTATAACCTTTTTTCAATCAGTTTAACTTTACAGGACAATTTTTTTTAAACGTGAATAAAACATGAAACAATTTGAATGAAGCTGGAAATTATTTTAACACTTTTCAAGAAAAATTATTCGTTGAATTATTCTTGTAGAAATCGAAATATGATTTGTCTGTTTATGTTTATGTGAATGGTCAGTCTGCTAACTTATAACAGTGGTCTGTTAAGTTATATGTAAATGTAGGCTCTGATAACTTACATGAATGGTCTGCTAAATTGAAAAAGGATTTTTAAACTAAGTAGATTGAGTATTATTTAAAAAGCATTGCAAAATCATTTAGGTGAGTATTATTGCTATACAAAAGGCGTACAACGAAACAAACGTCATTAATGGGTTTGTTTCACATTTTTAGCAATTGTTCACTAGGAGTTTAAAGGTTTGCCGAAATGAATATGCGAAAATATGAAAATCTACATGAAAAAATGCTCTATTTAATTAAAAACAACTTGAAAAACTAATTCTTATTGATTTTATTTCAAATAGTAGTAGAAATAATTTTCAAGTACTTGATATTTTTAAATAATAGCTTCATGATATATTCTTCAAGAATGAAAGACTGTGGTTGATTGCAAAGAATATTAGTTTATATTAATAAAATATTAATTTTTAAGTGTGGTTTTCAAAATATAATGAAATAAACTATCAAACAAAATATAGATTAATATTAAAATTGATTTGTTGCCAGCTTCTTTTTAAACAACACAACATAATGTTTCCACGGGTTTAATTTTAACACTGAAACACATTTGGCGATCGCTAGAGTTATAAGGATAATAGGAGAATTGATCTGAGGTTCAACCTAGTAAATCATGTTGGATACAAACCTCAGTTAAACTGAGGTTAAAATTTATCATGAAAGATTGTAAAGAGTCATTTCCTTAAATGAATGTCTTAAACTATTGAGTGGAAAACATTTAAATAATTTTATTTTACTTTTAAATGAACCATTTTATGAGATGAAAATATAATAACTTGGTTTATTAACTTGAAAAAACATCTCTTTAGAAATGTTTTTCATGCTTTAAAATTTCTAACAATATTCGTGAAAGGTAGCTACAACAAACCATCAGGTTTATCGATAGTTTCCCACATGACAACATTCTTCTAATGATTTAAATTTTTTGTTTTGTGTTTATTTCCTTAAAATAGTTTCACATTGTTTCATTTCACATTTTCAGAATTTTTTTAGGTCAGTTTTAACTATTTCAAGCTTCAAAAGTTCAATTTAGGATTGAAATCGATTTGTTTTGTTACTTTTCTTCCTATGATATATATCACATCCTGGTAACGAAATTTTTTCTATACTGTCAAGTATAAATTTCAGATAATTACTGACTTTAGGTGCAGTTTATCAGATCATAGATGATATTATTTCACAAAGAACACAATTCTTAATAACGAACATTTTGCTTGTTAAATTGTTTTTGATTTAAAACATTCAAGCTTCTGAATCAGTTTTCTAAAAAACAATATATAAATGAATAACAGTATGAGCAGCAATGCATTCGTCGTGTTTGTTGTTAAATAAGATTAATGCACGAATACACACACAAATAAACGTAGCAACCGATATACTAAGCCAAACGAAACAAACAAAATAAAAAACAAACATCAATTATGTATGTATATATACAAACATAGTAAAACAACATGTTTAAACATATATGCTATGTTTCTTTTTTCAATGGTATTTATTTATTCATAATTATTATTATGCTTTTGAATGCATCAGCAAGAACAACAACAACAAAATGATCAACAACAACGTAAATAACAAAAATATATAATGCGCACCTAAACAATGAAATAAATGTTAACACAGCAACAACAATACTTCTTCACAATAACTTTCAACATCCGAAGCATAAGAACTTATTCATACTGACAAAATTGAAAGGGACTTATATAAATATTAATTAATACATTTACCACCATGATCATCATCAACATCACCACCATCATCATCATCATCGTTGTCGTCGTCGTCATCATCACCATCATTGTCGTCATCATCGCCCATTATGTCTATATTTTTTACTTTATTTATTAACGATTCAATGTACTAATATACATAAGTGTTTTATAACTTGTTTAGAAGTTGTATGTTTATAAACAATTCAAAAGCATTCATTCAATTCTCTCTCTCTCTCTCTCCCTCTCTCTCTCTCTCTTTCTATCTCTCTCTTTCTCTGTCTTTTTCTCTCCCTTTCACTATTGTTATTATACAACGCACAAAGCACAAACACATGATAAATTATTTATAAAAGAAAATCCTAAACACTTGGCTACACTGCTTCGATGAATGCGTTGGTGTATTGAAATAAAACGCTCGGCTTATTGCCGATGCTCTTTCGTTTGTACGTAGCTGCAATAAGAAAGAAGTTGCTTTTACATTTTACATTTTAACTTTGTCGCGCGCGCGCGCACACACACACACACACACACACATACACACACACACACGCACGCACACACACATTCAGACAAACATATATATATATATAAATGTATACAATATATACATACAATGTATATCGGTATTATTATTATTATTATTATTATAGGAACCTTATTAAAGTTTAACCTGGAGATGACAAAACTTGGAAGTGGTACCGTACGTTAAAATATTTGAAAAAGTTATTCTTATCTTTTACAGATAACTTTTTATCGAGTTTTAAATTTTAATTTATTAATCTGTTTAGTATATTAAATAAATAATTGATAAAATTAATTAATTAATTCATGATGTAAATAATTGATAAAATTAATTTTTTCATTTTGTTATGATAATTATTAATCCTTACTCGCAATGGAAAAAATTTACTGAAATGGCAAGGAAGTGTGGACATGTATTCATGCTTTTCATATTTCTGTTCCACCCCCCTATGATGTCAACACTGGATGACGTAGATGACAACAACAACAACAACATCATCAACAATAACAACATCGACAAAAACAACAACAACGATGATGACGTTAATGACAACAACAGCAACAACAACAACAACATCAACAACAACGATGATGATGTGAATGGCAACGACAACAACATCATCTTCAACAACAACAACAACAACAACAACATCAACAAAAACAACAAAAACAATGATGACGTGTATAACAACAACAACAGCAACAACTATAGCAGCCGCAACAACAACAACAATGATGACGGTGGTGGTGATAAAGATGATAATGACGATGGTGTCGATGGTGGTGACGACTACAACTATAAGGGTGACGATGTTGGCGGTGAAGATGACGACGATGATGATTACAGTTGGAAGGACAGCTATGTTGATGACGATCGTAACAGAAATAAAATACTCCTCTGTTAGTATATATTTTAATTACTTTATTTAACAATCAATTTATTATTTAACTTCATCGACTGAAAAATAATTTCAAATGTTTGTTTCATTCCATTGACGTCCTTCACTTGACCTCCCATGCCTGTATGTCACGCTTCGTTGAAAATAACTCTTTTTTTAGCAGACTTGACACATGCTTAGTAAAATTTTTCGATAACTTTATTTAATTATTTGAACCAAAATGTAAAATTATTTTTCGGACAGCCATTTCACCAGCTGACGTGAATGTTCAAGAAGGAAGTGACGTCACGATTCAGTGTTCCATCTCGACGTCATCCTCTTCATCCTCTTCATCGTCATCGTCATCATCATCAGTGACGTACGACTCGTCAGATATCAATTTTTGGACGGTCTCATTGGATCCATCCTACAGATATGACAACACTCTTAGCAACAACAAAAACAACAACGACAACGATGCCAACACTCCTGACATTAACAACTGTCTTAAAAATTACAACAACAACAACAATAATAATTGTAATAACCATAATAACATCAACAACAACAACAACAACAATAACAAACACAACAACAACATAGAATTTTACAAAATAAAAAAACCACAAAACGCGACCACAAGGGTGACAGCCGACACGGCCACACTAACCTTGAGTGACCTTCGAATAGTTGATGACTTAACGTACGTTTACTGCTCCATCTCCAACACGTCATTTCTTGACTTCTCCGTAATCCGTGTGGCACGTGCGTTCGTATTTCATTTGTTTGCAGCCTGTACAATTGTCACTCTATTAATTTTTTATTGCTTTTAATTAATTAATTTGTATTATTTTTGTTGTCACTGCAAAATTAAATTCGTTACTTTTAAAGATTCGTTCATTATTAATGTTATTGTTGTAATTAATGTAATTATACTGTAACGTCTTATTTAACATTGTAGCGACTACCAAAGACTTTATTTTTTTATTTCTTCACTAAATATTTTACTTCGTGCCTACCTTTAAAAACAGCATTGTAGAGTGGCAGAGTAAAAAAATATTGACGTGGCGCATCTTCCATGAAGAAGAAAGATTAATTTTAATTAAATTAATTTTAATTGAATTAACTTTAATTAAATTAGTTTTAATTAAATAAATTTTCGATTGAATTATTGTTAATTAAATTAATGTTAATTATATTAATATAATTTATATAGCGCAACTTCTAAAGTATTTCCGAATTCAACCTTCTTCATTGCCAAAATTATTATTATTTGAAATTACAACAACAACATAATCACCATCATCATCATCAGTATCATCACTGTCATCACCATCATTACAAACAACAACAACATCGTCATCATCATCACCACTGCCATCATCATCATCACCACCATCTTCATCACCATCATCATCATCATCACCATCATCATCAGGTCCACCGGGCAGACCCTGGATAGACCCGTCATCCCTTCGCTACTGCAACATGATGGCCTTCACCTTCCGGTGGTACCTGGAAGGTGGGGAGTGTGAGAACAGTCTCAACACGACGTATTCATCATGGTTTAAAATCAAGTAACTTGTTTGTGTGTTCACGTTTTTATGTGCTGTTTGTTTGTTTGCGTGTCTACTTGTTTTAAATTTTACACGTTGATGTGACGTTTAATAAACGTTTACAAGTAAGATTTGTTCGTCACTGCGTAGCATATGTGTTATGTTCACACGTTTGTCGTTTTCAATTGTTCACAAGTTTCATGTTTTCATGTTTGCAGGTTTATACATTTGTTTATTACAATTTTAAATAGATTTCATCCGTTATTTTTTTGAGATTCTGATGATGATATATGCGTTAGAACTTATCAGATTTTAGTACTAAATATATACTAAATAAATAGTTTGTGAACAACGAAAATGAAACGAATGACTGACTTCTGGTGTTTCTGCTGGGATTGTTGTAGAAATTATGCCCTTACATGCTTGATAGAGATGCTGAGAAAGGAGAGGACGACGACGATGACGATGGTTACACACTCTGCCAAGTGGCAACTGTTCACCAATGGGACTGGAGGTTGTGCAGATCTGCTTCGTCATCGTCGTCACCATCATCTTCATCATCATCGTCATCGTCTTCAACAGAAAATAGTGATGATAATAGCAGCATTTGCAGTGAAAGGAAACAATATTCATCATCATCACCCTCCTCTTCATCATCATCCTCATCTTCCTCCTCATCATCATCATCCTCATCATCATCGACACCAATCCACCAATCTAACACCTGCATCATTCACGACATCAAATCTCGAATGCAGCAGACGAACTTTAGCAGCCACCACATGAAGTTGAAGGTAAATGCCACAAACGCCCAGACCAACGTCAGCAGTGACGTCATAACCATCTCCGGACCCCTCCAATATATAGGTTATATATAAATACATCATATATATATATATATATATATATATATATATATATATATATATATATATATATATATATATATGTATATATATATATATATATATATATATATATATATATAAAAAGACAATACCCCATTTTATAGTAATAGTAATACCCATTCATTATTATAAAATGTGGTATTGTATGTATATACATGTGTGTGGGTTTGTGTGTGTAAGTGCGCGCGCGCGCGTGTGTGTGTGGGTGTCTACATATGTATTTTATACACCTATACACCAATAGCAACACATATACACTTTTACCATATGATGGTTATATTATA